GACCTGGGGGCCCTATTCCAACCTCGGGTCCCGTGAGGGGCCCGTGTGTAGGCTTTCAGCATGTAACACCGTCCCAACACCAAACATGTACAGCCAAACAGTCAAGATCTACCTGCATGCATCTCGATGGAAGCCTCTAAGGGGACCCAAGGCTAGGGGACACACAAGAAAGACCTACGGGCGACCGGCCCAAGGTTCAAGCCCAATAAGGCTCAAAAACAGTCTATCACCACAGTGGCACAAACACACTACAGGTCATGGGATCAAGTCCTGGGTTGACTTCAGCAATTGCAGAAAACGACAAAACAGCAAAGCCTAAGGGTCTAAGACTGCCAAATAGAGACTTCTAGCAACAGGTCTAAGGATGAGGCCCAGGAGGGCTCAAAGCTAACAAGCCGAACGTATAAATTACAGGTCACGGGATCAAGTCCTGCAAGGCCCAAACCAAGGAAACAGCAAACACAGTTTGTGTACAGTCCACTGGGATACTGCGATTTATTGCATCAATCTGCTCTCTCTCTCTCCCCCCGCTCTGTCTCTGTCTGTCTCACTCACTCTTTCTGTCTCTGTCCTTCTTTCTGTGTCTGTGTGCATGCATTTTTGACCTGGATATCGGCATACAATGGTCTATTGACGTTTGACATTTTGATGGGGGAGTTTAAAGAAGAATGAGAAGAAATAAGTAGTTTCAGTGTGCCCGTCATCTTTGTTTTCGTTTTTTTTTAAATCTTTACCGTTTGTTTCGCAAAGTGTGCTCTATTAGTTCATAGTTATGTGACAATATGTGGAGGGAAGGTGTTGCTGACCGGTGATGGATGGACGGGAATGACAGTGGTGTGGCTTAAGCTGCAGTTCGAAGGTGGCTGAACCCATCCATGCTCTGATAGTTTACCATAGCATTGCGTTGGAGCTCAACTTCAGCCATGGGAAAGAAGATAGGCATAGTGAAAGCTGGTATAGAACCATAGCCAAGAGGAGAGAACACGTACCATTTTCAAGAGATTGATGTCAGGGCTCAACTCCTCTTGGTTCAGTGCTCAATTTGAGTGTTTGGCACTCTTGTATCTTAACCCCATATCACCATGCAGCTGTGGCTGCAGCTGAGTTTGGATGTATATTTTTGTGCGATTCCGTACTGGCAACGAGGAAAATGGTGTCTGGAAATCAGGAAAAGAAGATGAGAAAAAATATAGAAGGGCAATTTTCAGAAACCCCGGTTGAGTTTTGGAATAACGTTATGGTACCTGTCAGAAGGTGCGTGGTGGCCTGTGTTGTATCACCATCCAGAATCATTCATAAGGTGAGGTAGACGATGCATTTGTACGTTCTCAGAAGTGGCATGCTGTTTTCTCAAATTGGGAGATGGATGGGAGTTAGGTTGGGGCTGGGGGAGGGACAGTGAGGGCGGCGGCTGCATGCTGGTTTTTACTTTCAAGATGGAGGGAAGAGGGGTGATGTTTACCTTCACATGCACTCTTGTATGCACTGGGTCATGGATTAATGTCCATCATGGGGTGGGATGGGTGGAGTGAATTGCCCTACAAGGGGCTTCACTTTCTTTTTGTGAAATGATCCATTTCTTTGGTGAGAGGTCATGTGTTCGATCCCTAGAGAGTTTATCTTGGAATTCTTATGTACTAACAACGAAGAAACTCAGCACTTCAAGATAGGGTAGTTCCTGGACAAGGGAGTTTCTCAAGATCAATTTTGATGTGTGTTTTCTTTTGTAGTGTGCTGATCGTATCAACATGTAGTGATGTACACCCTCATCTGGTGTGGAATTTTTTGCAGGTTTGCAGAGCTGACATGTCAGCTCGGTATATGACCATGGATTGTGTGCTGAATTCCACCGATCATTGGTTGGGGGTCGTGCATCTGCCAGTACAGTCTGGTTTGTTCGTTGAGGCATGGGATAGTCACATCTTCCTTTGTGTAGGATGCGTGAAGGTCTGCAACTCTCTATGTGCTCGTCAGTTTGTAGCCTTCAGTGTTGCGTGAAGCCTCTGGATGGAACTCTGTTTCCTCAGATGGCCATCCCCCAGTAGCACACACTTGCATTGCATGCCTGCTGAATTTCCCCGTCCCTTCCCTCGCCGACCTCAAACCATGGAAATGATGTGCCCTGTTCGCGTGGCACTGTGCCCCTGTTTGGAGAGTTACCGTCTGCAACACACATTGAAGCACACAGTTGCATTGCATGCCTGCAGAAGTCCCTTCTTTCCCCCTCTTGTGAAACCTCAAAACCACAGAAATGATGCGTCCTGCTCCTGTGGTACTGCCCATGTATTATCCTCCCTGGCGGAGCGACCACTTGCCCTGTTGGACGAATTGTCCTCCCTGGTTAAAGCGATGTCTCCTTTTTCAAGCGGAATGCATGTGAACAGGGAAATTTCCCTTAGGAGGAGGGATCTCCGTTTATACCCGTTGCAGAAAAGCAATGCTCTGACTGCAGGAAGCATACCTGTCTTAGCTCCAACATCTGTGAAATGGTGTCCCCCCACGGGCAATTCAGAGTGTCAAACCACGTATACGGCATTTGTTTGGTGCTTCACCACATGGAATTCAGAGTTTGGATGGTGAAATGTGAGCTCCTGCTGCTGCTCGATCATTGGTCAAGAAGAGTCCGATGCTACTCCCCACAAGTCACTGTACTACTGTGTTTGTCTAAGCTTGTGGAGCTCTTTGCTGTGGTCTTTCTAGAGCTTTTCTGTCCACTTGCCCTGCCAGCATCATTACATGGGCTGAAGTGATAGCACAGTGTTCGTCACTAGAGACACTTCAGTCTTAAGATGTTTCATTTGTGCCCCGGAGAGGTCTTTTTTAAGGGATGCATCCCATTCTGGACTTCATTGTTCTCAAGCCTCGTTCTGAGGACTCTGTCGAGAGATCCTCTCTTGGATGAGTGACGGACTGGCAGACTCTTGAAGTTTGATGCTGCATCCCGGGATACTGTCGGTTACATGCCTCATTGCGAGGAATCTGTCGAGAGATCCTTTCTTGGATGAGTGACGGACTGGCAGACGCATCCCGGGATGCCGACTGTTACATGAAATGGAGTGGGGCAGATGCCTATTGATGCTGGACAATGGAGAGATTATCCTGATCGCTGGCGGGTGTGTTAAGTGCACGAGTATGAAGGGGGGGGTTCCATTTGTAGTGGGCAGGCTAGCGGCTAATGCAGTCACAACCCCTGTGAAGGGGATGGTCCTCACATGCAAATGGGAGGGTGGTCCATGTAGGGGGTCAGCTGGTCGCTGCATGCATGACAAATGTGGGTGGTGTAGTTGTCATTGAACAAATTCCCCACATACGCAAGTGGGTAACGGTATTGGCGGCTTTGGGGAAAGCAGAGGATCTCTGTGCGACAGTGAGGGCAAGCACGCTGACCCTTCTGTGGGAACGTGCAGACCTTCAAACAACCTCTCGCTTGGCAAACCAATGGAGGACTGGAGGACAAACATTTCAGCACTGGTCAGCCTTGGAAGCCATCAGAGGATTAGTGAATGGTGAGAAAGTCAAGTGAGTTTTTATGAGTTCTGACCACAGTAAAAAAAAATGTTCTGACCGAACTGAGATGAGAAAAGTAGAAAGGTGGATGAGATTGGATCATCAGGGATCCTGATCAGAAAAATAGAAAGGTGGATGAGATTGGACCATCAGGTATCCTCTATAAACGGCTACGTCCATCATTCCCCCCCTTCTCACCCCCTCCCTTTCCCCTCTCTCTTGCCACCATACAGTACCCTGGTGGAGAATGTCTGTGTACTTGACAAAGAAAAGACTTTCTCCGGTGCTGTATAGATGCTGGGCTTCCCGAATTCAGCGGAATGTATACCATGTACAAGGTGATCAGCGTGGGGTGTGCGGTGTGGCAATCAGTTGCCAAACATCCAGATCGAACCATGGCTTCAAGCCTGAAGAGGGAAGAACATTCAATAATTTGCTATAGAATGTCCACACCATCTAAAATGGTCATGGAAATCAATTACGACTTACAGGCCTGGTATTAGTCAGTGGAATCATAGTTAGTGTTCCCGTTTGTGCCCTTCACAATTCCTGTTGGGTCTTTCTGCTTTCAGTAGCTGTTATGGCTCTGAAGGCCTGAGAAGAGCTTATCCACAACTCTACCTTTGTTGTTGCCCTCCGCTTTGACTGTCACAGTATGTGTGGTTCTGTACTGTGGTGGGAGGAGTCTATATGCAGGGAAAGCCAGGCTCCGATGGTGTTCAAGTGGGTAAATCCAAACCGTAATTGTTTCAATTCTCTCCCCGACTTTTTCTCCTCCCAGTTTGTGGATAGATGCCATGCATTGAGAACTGTCATCACACTTTTGTAAAGGTGTGGAATTTTTTGCGGTCTAACTGAGTTATTTTTCTTGACCAGATGAGAATCATGCAACTGGCAGTGGTGAGCGGCTGAATGACGAGGATGACGCACAGAAGCACAAGATGTCTCTGCCTTCATCTATATCCTCAAGGGAACCAGCACAGGTGGACGAGCAGCCTCTTGATTGCACTCTTGACGAGTTACCAGGAACAACATTCACAGAGATTCGCTCTCCAGTGGAGGTGGCAGTTGCTATGCAGGATGTGGCGGTCGGAGATGCTCCATGCCCCAGTGATTCACTGCACACGACGAGAGCACTGTCAACTTTTGTTGAAGATCTGGTCGATACCAAAGCTCCTGTTAAGGCTGACCATACCCAGGGCCTCGTTGCGCTTGTGGATAAGCTGCATGTTGCGAATGTTGGTGTAATGCATGATTCTGCCGAGGTTCAGTGTCCACCAAAGTGCATTGTGGTCAATCAGGAGGTCTCGGCTGCCGCAGAGTCGGTGGCGGTAGATACAATGATGCTCTCTTCAGATGATGCGGCACCATTCTCTCTGCCTCAGATGGTCGAGGTTGGTCGCGGCACACTGGTGCAGAGTGGCCCCTCATTGGAAATGAAGGCAAGCGAGCAAGGTGCCTGGGATGAGCCGTCCAGCAAGCCAACTGCCAGAGACGTATCGGAGCATGCACCACCTCCTATGTTATCACCAGCATTATCCCCGTTGGTGTTAACCCCTGCAACCATGCAAAGGCCATCGGGACCGACGGTAGCGATTGCAGAAATAGCAGGTGTTGCTGAGTCATCACCGCCACCGCCACCGCCAGTTACTCCCATAGCATCAGGAGCAGGAAGCTTGATTGCAGTGCCAGCAACCTCTGGTGTCCTGGAGGGCTCAGCCGAAGAATTGGGGCCGGCAGCGGACTCCTCTGTTGTGAAGCAACCACCTTCTGCATGTGTCCCAGAGGAGAAAGTTGTGCCCAGTAAGTTGCCCACTGCATGCCAACTGCTCATTGAGGGTCTCTCCTCATTGGCTTTCTGTACCTCAAATATGTGCGTCATGGTGTCTCCATTGGTGCATGCGTTGCAAATAATGCACTTTGCAACTCCTCGCTGATGCTCCTGTCTGTGCGCAGAATGCATGGGGTGTATTCAACTGTGGTGCCAAGTAGGGCAACACAGCCCATATGTTCTGTTCAGGGTGTATTCAACCGTGGTGCCAAGTAGGGCAACACAGCCCATGTGTTCTGTTCAGGGAAAAGTGGTTGTAAAGCCATACTGTCTCATTGCTGAGATCTGTTATGTTTGTTCAACATCAAGGGGATTCTTGTGGCTACAAACGGATGCTCTCTAACTCTTCTTGGTTTCTGGGACCCACTGCCAATCATGAAGAGACCTGCCACTGCGTCTTACACTGCTTGCATATGTTGTTGCTCACAGTTCCTTGGTCCTGAGTGCCGCTGCTAATTCTGACTGTTCTTCAGCGGCAATGCCATTTCTGGCCAGGAGGTAATGAATCAGCAGGTACAACTTTGCGATTTTAAAATGCACAAAATATTTTAAAGTTCGTCGTCTGTGCTGTCCTTGGGGACACAGAAGAATAGCATGGCCCCTGTGTGACGATGACAGGCACAAATCGATAAATGGTCCCAGAAGAAAAAAAAAAAGCTCCCCACGCTTGGTCTCTGATTATGCAGAAATTTGGCCCACCAGGTGTGTTCATCTTGGCAAGGGCATCCCTGGCAGCCTTGTTTCACTGTGCGATAATGTATATGACAATAATCGCCATATGTATGGGCATACGGTTTGGTTGCAATTTCTAAGTGAAGACTGATGTCTCTGAAAGAGGGGCATGTTGCAGTGCATAACACTCCATGTGCTGTTTTGTCAAGACTCGAAAGTAGATTTCAGTGCATCCTGCATTCCAGGGCCTTTTCCGAGTATCTGGCTGCTTGGCAGGCATGAGGGGCCCTATCTGCAATGTGTGCCAGCCCTAAGTGAATGCGGGCCTCGTAAAATTTTACGAGGCCCATTGTTGTCTATTTCGCCTTTGGGGTTCAGACAGTTGCATCGCGTCAGTTGGTTGAGGGAACCCAGGCCTCGGCCAGCAGCACTTTGTTTCGGCCTTCTAGGCCTTGCTAGGAAGCAGGCCCTGGGCCGCACACAAAGGAGGAGGCACGACAGGCAGTTGAGGGCTGTAACCGAATGGGGCCCAGGGCAGCAGGGCCTACCGGAAGCTTCTGTGCACACGCCCCGCCAAGCCAGGCGGCAGACCAGCCCAGGCCCTTTCCAGAGCTCGCTGCCTGGCCAGGTATTCGGGCACTTGCCAATTGTGCGGCAGCGTTGCTTGAGCCTGCACTTGCATGTTGTGCGCTGCGCTAGGCAAGGTGTTCGCGCACGTGCGGTAATGTAAGCCAGGGCGCTGCTGAGGGCAGTGCCATAGCCCAGCTTCCATAGCTGGCTGCGCTTGACTATATGGCAAGGTGTAGTGGTGGTCTTCATGCATGGGGAAGAAGACGTGGGTGAGAGAGAGAGAGAGAGAGAGAGAGAGAGAGAGAGAGAGAGAGAGATGAGGATGATGATGTGACGGCACGTACCTGGGCCTGGCGATAGTCTGCATGGGTCGACATCTTCATGAACTTCGGTCCTGCTGCTGACGTCAACAGTTGCATTGTCAATTCGTAGGCTTTAGTCTGGGGCTAAGTGCCAAGTAGGTGAAGGACTCGACGAGAGTATGCTCGCATTGACACTCGGACTCAGTCTTTTGTTCTCCATTGGTGTAATATCAGTGCATTTCTTCTTTCTGGACAGTGTGGGACTTCCTGGCTTTCAATGTGATTTTGCAATCTGAAATCTGTTGTCCCGCTACTGCTCATTTTCTGTGCACTTTACTATCTGAGTAATTAATGAGAGTTTCTTTGTGTGCAGAAGAGTCGGAGGTGGATCATTTGCTGGGCTCAGAGGTGGCTGTGAGGGCGGCCATGCTCCGCGGAAGATTTGCAGAGACAATCATTAAGGCTCGTGAGAAGATAGCACAACCCTCACTGACGAATGCCAAGGTCAGTATAATCCTCCTTCCCCTCTTGGTCCTATGGATGTGCGACCCTGCTCCAGATCTGGTTTTTCTTTTTCCCCTTTCGTCTCCAATTCTACTTGCCCAAATGCAACTGACAGCCTCAGCATGACCTGCGGCTGTAGGTGGACCCTGATTTTGATGTTCATGAATGAATGAAGGGCAACATGCTTAAGGGAGACTGGTGGACCAGCCTGAAAACTGATGGAGGATAGTGGACCAATCTTTAATCCATTGGTCATCAGTTGGCCCGTCTTGAGCCTCTCTGAGAAGCTAGGCAGTACACTAGTGGTCCAGCCTGAAACGTCAGTGTACATCAGATAGCCCCTCCAGTATTAGGGACTACGAACCAGTGTAAGAACTGGGGGCTCCAGTTTGGCCTTTTTAAGGACACAAGGGAGCACAACAGTGGTCCAGTCTCCAGAGTGGCTTCGTGCTTGTGAACTGTGCTGAGTTTGACAGTTTTTAGCTGTCCTCCTTCCTCCTGCTGTCATCCCCTTCACTCCTCCCACTGTCATGGTCCGTTCGGCAACATGAGTGGCATCCTTTGCTGCCTTCATCTCCTTCACCTTGTCTTCGTGCGGTTAATCCTAGCCTCTTTCTTCATTGCTGTCGTCCTCCTTAATTACCTCCTCGTAACTCCACGTGCCATGAGTCCCAGTTACTTGGCAGTCATCGGTGTGGGACTGTCATTTCACAAGTGTGCGATAGGCATGCAGCCTTTTCCTCTGCCTGATCCTCTTCCTTCTTTTGCAGTGTGCCATGGAGAGCATGGGCTGCCATATCATATCCTTGGTGTGCTGCTTTAAAATCTATATAATATAAAATCCCTGACGCAGCACATGAAATACATGGGAAATAGATGAGGAGGTTAATGGGGAGTCGGAGGGAGGAGGAGATGACGGGGTCCACAGTGCATGGGGTGGTGGGGACACTCTTCCGCGAGTTGGAGGTGTGAAACAGTGGGCATAGGAACTGGAAGGGAGGAGGCAACGATGGTGACGAAGGGAGAGGAAGAAGAGGGAAGAAGGTGCATGATGATGCTGAGGGACATCGGGTGACCAGCAACAGTTGGAGAAAGGGATGCTGCTACTGGCACACTCTTCTGTTAGTGCAAGGTGTGAAACAGGAGGCAGAGAAACTGGAAGGGAGGTGGTGACAACAGTGATAGAGGAGGACGAAAGGGGAAGAAGAAAGTGGATGATGATGTTGAAGTTTATGGGGTGTGAAGGAGCGGTCGTAAAAAGAGACTGCAACAAGGAACACAACAGTGGCAAAGTGCAATAGAAGTTGGAAAAATAGGAATATATTGTTCATTTCACTTGTCATCATGTTTTCCTCTACTTTTCCCTGACCCTTCAGACTAGCTGTATCACCTTGCAGCTAAACCACCACTGTCCTCAATGGGCTCTGGGGATCACAGATATATACATGCTGGGAGCGGGAAACCACCACTGTTTTCAGATTAATGGCGGCCCAGCAGCGGCCTGGTCCCGCTGTGTACAGCTGTCACTTTGCGGCATGCACACTCTGCAATGGTGGTCGTGGTGCTTACGAGGCTAATGGCAAAGGTTGGCAACTTCAAGGTCAGTCAAACATGGGTTTGACAAAATCGGTTTAGGCATGGTGGTGGTTGAACGGGATTCAATAGACCTAGTTACAGGTTCGACAGAATAGGTACGGGAACAGTGGTGGTTCAACTGGGTTTGTCTCATACTTGCAACCGCACGAGCCGCACATTCGTGCGGAGTTCCGTGCCGGGGGTGCCTGTGCGGAATCGTGCAGTTTTTTTATTATTTTATTTGGGAGGGGGGACGGGGGGACCTATGCCAGGAAGATGGGGATATGGCGATGAGATGGGATATGGAGAGGAGGAGGAGGATGTGGACGAGGACGACGACGAGGATAGCGAGAACGACGAGGAGTAGACGTGGGGGAGGAGAAGAGATGGACGGACGGAAAAGAGGAAGGGCAGGAGGTGGAGGACGAGTGGGAGGAGGAGGAGACATGGACGACGAGGAAGGGGAGGACACGAGGAAGGGAAGGAGACGAGGAGGCATAGAAGGAGGATGAGGAAGGGCAGGAGGAGGAGGACGAACAGGAGTCGTTGGAGGTGACGAAAAGGAGAAGGGAGGAGGAGACATGGAGGGTGAGGAAGGGGAGGAGGAGCGACCTGAGGCAGCACTCCTGCAAAAAAAAAAATAATCCCGCTTATAATTTTGGCGGGGGGCCTGGAACGCACCATTTCGACCCCCAGCCTTCTTTTTTTTTTCGGATGGGGGTGACTGGTCGTTCCCCACACACGTCGTGCGCCGCCCGCACGGTGTGCGCTTGCAAGTATGGTTTGTCTGTGTTCCCCAATTCATTAGAGCTAGTAACTGCCTCCTAGGCGGACTACAGCAGGACCTCTGGCCGTTCGGTCTCCCTGCTATTTGGTGTGCTTTCTTTTCCCGAGACTGCGGTGTTGCCATATGCTAATCATATGGAAGGCGGCAAACTTGGAAAGAAAAAGAGAAGAATGGAGGAAAGGGAATTGAGGGTGCAGTTTTGGATTAACATATGCGGCAGTGAAAACAAGCATGATCACTCCACCGCCATGATGATGATTGCAATGGTGGTGTTGATGATGATAACTATGATTATGATTCCCACTTCAAACTGATTTCATGCGAATCATCCTCGTCATTCATGTTGCCATTCAGGTTCATTTCATCATCTTTGTTGGTCTCTTTTAATATGACGAAACTGACAGGTGGAAGTATCTTATTGTTGCAGCACAACATGGATGGGCTCCAAGTTCATGGTCTGTGATTCAAGGTCTAGAGGTCAGGCTGAAGTGGTGGCACGCGTAGAACAGTCTTGTATGAGGGTTGTCTTTGTGGTTGTCATCGTTATCATTGTCTTCAGCACAAATAACTACCAGTGTGGGCATCTTCACATCATTGCATCGTTATTGTCAGTGTTCTTGTCATCGGTTCATCATCTTCATAGTCATCGTTATCCTTCAAAGCATTGACGTTTTTACTACAGATCAACACCGGGCATTGCATAAAAGGAGGATGCTCACTTCTCTCTGCTGATGCAGGTGGAGAAGATTGATCCGGAAACTGTGAAGCGGCAACTGGAAGAAACTCGAAGGCGGCAAAAAGAAGGTATGGAAGAACTCTTTGGCCTGACCATATTCTTGGAGCCATCACCTGACCTACTCTTGCCAAACCGTTGTCTCCTACTTTTCTATGAAAGACCATGGCTCTGCAGTCCTTGCATTGCAATGGTTATATATGTGCGCAAAAAAATGAATGTCTTCCCTGCTGCAATTAGAGCCTGGTGAGGACAAGTTTGCATTGTCACAAAGAGTTGGTTTTGGTGGTCCTTGCTGCTGTCGATGCGACCACTGAAAGTCTGCAGTCAGTGGTGCCAACTATGAGGCACTCGTGGTGGTTCTTGCTGCTGTCAATGACCAATGAACAACTGCAGTCAGTGGCTGCAGAGATGAGGCAATACCAGGCCTAACATTTTCTCCTCGTCACATCAGTGAAGGGGTGGGCTAAGGTACTTTTAGGCCACCACTGTGCCCGGTCTGTTATGCTGTTGAAAGTGGGCACACAGGATGCACACTTTGAGTAATAATTGTTGCCCAGTCAGTGTGGGTGCACATGCGTAGTCAGGTCAGTAAAACTCATGACTAATCACCATGCGACCTGCTTGTGCCATCCTTTCATCATTCGTGAAGTCTTGTGTGTTTGAATGGGATCCCCATTTTGCTTGAACAAAACTACGAATGGCAGGAACAGCCTCTTTTCCCCGACCTGGACTGCTGCTGGGCGTCACAAAAAAAACAAAAACCGAATTGATGCGGGTGAGGAATTTTTGTTTTTTGCTTGAAGCCTCCAGCCATTTTGGTCCAGTAGGCTGTGGCTCTGATAATGCTGCGGGTTAACCACCACCTCGGAAAATAAAAGCTGGGAGAGGGACTGGATATCTTGTTGCTATGTATGCCTTCTCTTTGATGTCAGAGAGATCTCTAGGCAGAGGTCTAAAGAGATGATGCCTTGCCATCCTTGGCTAGATCTATCATTTGGAAGTTGTCGTTTGCAAATGATACATAGTGTGCCTCTGTCTGGCCAGCTGCATGAGCAAAGATTCAACATAGGTGATGACCGCTGTGCGAGCTTTCAGCAACCTGTTGTTGCGTGCCACTCCATGGATGTGGGGGTGGGTGCTATATGTTTGGGCTGGCAGTTGCTCCTTTTTGTTTGAGAACTTGCAGGATGTTCTCAGCTTTGCATCTGGTTTGTGTTTGCCCCGTCTGCTCTAACGTAGGTGTGTTTGTAGAAATAGGCATAGTGCATTCATGCAGGCTCTGTGAAACAACAAATGGAACTAAGCTGTGTGTCAAGGATTACGAACTACAGTTATGATTCCCATAGCCATTCACTCACTCAGTCATTCACTCACTCAGTCATTCACTCGCTCACTCACTCACTCACTCACTCACTCACTCACTCACTCACTCACTCACTCACAGTTCTTTGAGCCTTAAACCACCAGACGTCCATGGCCCAATCTAATTCGCTGTGCACACCGAGACTGTGGGCAGTGCCTGTAGAGGCACGGGCGCCTCCTTGGACAATAACCTCGTTTACTCTGTACTGATCATAGCCATGCTTTGGAGGGCAATCCCTCTTGTTTCCTAAACAGGGTTATTGAGGTGCATGGTTCATATGTGCTATATTGCACTGTAAAACACAAGCAGAAAGAGGCCAAAAAAGGCAAAAAATCTGCTGATGAAGTCAGATGAACACAATCCTGTTATTTGCTTGATCGTCTTTCCGGCATTCTTCCAAGAAAGTCACAGGCAAACCTTCACGTTCCGTTCAGTCACACAGTCGAGGGGAACCATGCGTAATGATCTCTTTCTTTGCTAGTGGCAGAAAAAAGTATTATTTTAATTTTTATTTTGTCATCGATGATGTCAGATTTTTCAACATCACCATAATGACTATGGACCGTCTGCCTGGGCATCTCAAATGGCATCTCAAATATCATCCAGTGTATGTGCTCACTGTATGTTGGGCCAGGTGAAACTGACACAAGGCCATGTGATTCAGTACTGTTGGCCTATTTTCTTAAATTTCGGAGGAAGGGGGTGATGGGGCTATACTGAGCGAGAAAACAGGTGCTCCACTAAAAAAATTCTGCTTTCTGTGGTGTGGGAGTTTAATACTGAGGCAAGTACTTACCGCCATCTCGTCACCGATGTCCAGAAGCATTTTGCAGCAGTGTAATGTGGATTCTTCTCCTTAATGGGGTCTACGTAATACTTAACATCCGTAAGCTTAATAGTGTAGGAAGATTCAGCATGACTAAAACTGCAACATAGCCTCTTTTATTGGATCTCCTATGTTGGCTTTTTATTGGATCTCCTATGTTGGCTGGTCGTTGGGTTGTGGAAACCCACAATGGTGTAACAAGTTATCAGCAGCAGCATGTTACTGTCTGAAACAAGTGATGTTATGGCGACCTTTTCTGACAAGGGCAGGCATAACATAACAGTGGCAGCTGATACAGGCTCATAGAGCTCCATATGTCCCTGATTTCAGTAGCTGTGCATTCAGGAAAGCTGTTTTCTGAGTGTGCTGTATGTAGGAACATCTTTGTGATTCATGTTCCCTCAGATAGCCCTTCAAAGGCGGGATGTGAAGGATACAGTCGCTCACACGACCACTACAGGTGCTGGGGTCATTTCCGAGCTTGGGATGGACTTGCTTCAGAGCTCCCTTGCCATCCTTTTAGGTTATATTTGATGGTCTGTATGTGGGTTTTAATTTTGAATTGGGCATCGAGGGGTGACCATTGCCCGCTGGGCAATCCTGATTGCACGTGAAATTGAACTAGTGATGTCGGTTGGATGCCTTAGCCACTTCAACAGTGACATGTTGTTGAAGAGTGGATCCACACCAGTCATACAATCGTTATGGGTGCAGTAATGAACTCCCTCTCTCTCTCTCTCTCTCTCTCTCTCTCTCTCTCTCTCTCTCTCTCTCTCTCTCTCTCCCGCTATCTTAAGATCACACGTGCGCACAACACATATGAGGCAAACTCCTTACGTTCCTGCAAGAGCCTCTGCTATGTGACACTGTGTCACATCAATTGGACAAATACATCCTTTTACACCATAGGATCAATATGACAAGCACAAAGTGGTCTGCGATTCTCACCAGAACTTGGAAGAGCGCTTAGATCGCCGTGCAAAACTTTCCATAGTTAATTTCCTTACCAGCACTTGAAAGCAAATCTCAGCATAACCTGCTGCTTGACATGGTTCTGATGGCCTGATCAACCTTGAATATTGGCCTTTTGATGGGCCATCAGGTGCATCAAGAGGAGGTTCTTGGTGAGGCCTAAGCCATTGTGTGGCACTGAAACCCACAGATTCTGCATTTGGATGTTTGAAAATTGCAGAAGAAAGTTATGTGGCAGAACACAAGCTGCTAGGCTTCACTATTTTGCACTTTGACATTCTTGGCGAAGCTGCAATAGACCTACTGGTCCTATTATAGTCTGGTCCGACATGATCCCGACATCAGGCACTTTGTGAATGATCAGGAGGAAATTTGGGCCTTTTTTTCATCTGGTGCACCTGACGGCCATGATGTGCATGAATGGCAAGTGTTGTCAGTCATCACACACTGAGTCACAATTTCAAACAGTGTTTTTGAAAACACAGGCAGAGCCATCATGCCTTTATAAGGGAGTCACCATTCATTCAGGATATTGGGGGCTCCACTTGTTTATTTTTTTTTGTTGGGGAAGGGGTGGGGGGGTGGGGGCACGGCAGGGGACGGACAGCACAGTGCTCTGTGTGTCATAGGATTTGAAGTCATGAGCTGTTTATCAGCAGATAGTGGTGTGTGCCCTTCAGGATGGGAGCTGGTGACCTCTTTGTCAAGAGCTGTAACTCGTGGCCTGTTCATCAACAGTTACACATGTATCATCCAGGATTCGATTACACAGCCGGTTTATCAACAGATACATGTGTATCATCCAGGATTTGATCTCGTGAGGGCTCTCCCAAAACCACAGTCCTGAGTGACCTGATCTTGACTTTGAAGGGAGAGATACGGTAACAAGGAGTTTTCTGCCTGGCTACGCTCGCAGCAAGGTTGGGCGAGGCATAGGCATTTTCTTTTGGTTATTTGTATACCTTGCTCGCAACGGAAAGAGCTGTAACTCATGACCTGTTCATCAACAGTTACATGTTTGCAGGAACTTTGTACCATTCAGGATTTGATTTGACAGGTGGTCTATCAACAGATACACGTGGATCATCCGGGATTTGATCTCAGTAGGGCTCTCCCAAAACCACAGTTTGTCCTGAGTGACGCGATCTTGACTTCGCCTGGGTACGCTCGCAGCAAGGTTGGGCAAGGCATAGGCGTTTTCTTTTTGTTATTCATATAGCTTGCTTGCAACGGAAAGAGAAAAGTGATAAGGTCCTCAGGGGGGAGGGGGAGACAGACAGAGAGAGAGAGAGAGAGAGAGAGAGAGAGAGAGAGAGTACACAGTAACGAGTTTTCTGCCAGGCTACGGTCGCAGCAAGGTCAAGAGAGGCATCCAAGGAGGATCATCTTTTCGTAGTTTAAATGGTGTGCTTGCAACCAAAGACAAAAATAATCACATCGTCAGGGAAACGGAGGGAGAGAGAGAGAGAGAGTACACAGTAACCGAGTTTTCTGCCAGGCTACGGTCGCAGCAAAGTCGAGAGAGGCATACAGGGAGGATCATCTTTTTGTAGTTTAAAATTTAAATGGTGTGCTTGCAACGAAAGAGAAAAATGATCACATCGGTAGGGAAATGGAGAGAGAGAGAGAGAGAGAGAGAGAGAGAGAGAGAGAGAGAGAGTCTAAGTTCGCAGAAAGGTTGAGAGAGGCATCCAAGTAGCATGTTGTTTTTGTTATTTGAATGGTATGCTTGCAATGGAAAGAGAAAAGTCACACACACACACCCACACACACACACACACACACACAGAGGGGGAGAGAGAGAGAGAGAGAGAGAGAGAGTTCATTTTCTGGGGCACATTGGGACAGGAAAGAATGGCAAAGGCCAGTTGTGGAAGTTTTCCTGGGGCAATTGCTCCACATGTGGTCGTGACAAGTTCGGGAAGGCTGACCATCCTGAGTTTGTTTTGGCCATGTGTGGCGTGCCGCATGTGGCCTGAGAGACTTTTGGAAGGACCTCTACTAAACGTCTGGAGCTGCTTGACTTTTGAGTCGGGCCATTGAGCTCCGACTTGGCATTTGTGCCTTGACTACAGAACAGGCCTCACAGTAGTGCCCTGACCACCTGCACACACGTCCGCTATCACCTCGGTACTGGAGATCTACTTTTCCCTTCAGGTGGTGGTGGTATAATAATGTGGTAAGGGAGGGGTAGGAACATTCCTAGAGCGGCATTTGATAGAACCATCTACTGCAGCAGCATGTTAGCCCTACAGTAGATGCCAAATGGACTACATGCTGAAAGATTTGATTGGTCTTATTCCATTGGAGTTTGAAAGATATACATTTGCACAGACTACATGCTGGCAAGGGGCCCTACAGTAGATGCTACATGAACAGGGAGCGGAAATCACTAGCATAAAGAGTGCCAAGTGGGTGCAAAGAAAATGCTTGGAAAACGGAATCTCTATCTAGATTCCTACAAATTGGACCTTGATGAGGATTGGCCTCAGGTCATGTTTACCAAGTAATGAAATGATGGAGAACATGGCAAATGCCAAACAGTTGGGGTTGATATTTCTTACCTGTCAAGCTGGTGGTTCCTACTATTTTCCACAAAGAACATGAAAAGAAAACTAGTGTCCCCAGGCTCCACAGGAAACTGGCAATCTTAAGGACACACAGACATCGCTCTGGTGCGTGGTCCCAGGAAGTGATTGTGGTGTAGTCCATGTAGTCTTGATTTCTAGACCATGGCTCTTACCAGTAGTCCTGTATGCATCGCTGGTGCGAAATAAAATTAAAATGGAAGTATGTGGCGCATGTGCTTCTTGCCATGCCCGTTTTTCTTTGGCATCACCGTGGTGTGGAACACGTGCTCTGCTAGCCCAGTTGCATATGTTGGAAAATAGGGAGTGCTGTTTGTTTTGCAGCACGGTGCCAAAAAGAATTGTATATTTTTGGAGAGGCCTGAATGGCCCTGTGGGTTGCCATTTCTTAGATGGCAAGAGTGGGTCCATAGGACCTGTCAGCGCACGACCCCAGCCTAGTAGAAATTTGTTCGTTGCCTACTCTTAAAATTTCACGGTTCGGGCATACTGGACCACAATGGCTGGCGGCACCAGCCGGAAAAGAGAGGAAGTGTGCCACTGGTGGTTCGGAAAAGCTTGGCGCACAGTGCAGCACCTCCAGGACAGTGTGTACTGCTGGTCCAAGAAATCAGGGATCAGCTCTGTGGTGCTACACACTTCACGAAAAGGACTACTAGTGTGAAACCACAAGAGAAAAAGGCAGTGAAGATGAAGACTGGTGCCAAGGTGTTACTATTGCCGCATTGGTGCGCGCAACAAGCAGGTTGTTAAAAGGAGGAAGAGGCGGCAGCAGTAAAAGGGGTGGTCTTTTGAAGTGTGTGACATGGTGGTTTGATAACCAGAGGAGTATGCGTGGACAACATTTTTTGCCGCTCATGGCATTATGATTTACAGCCAGAGGAGGAGGAGGAAGAGGAGGACAGAGGGATCGAATGGCGCCATTCACATTCCTGTTTCATGGAAGGCCACAATTGGCAGATTGGTTAAAAACAGCAGTCCAACATGCTGTTACTGTTCATCGAATTTGTGTGAGAATGGAGCAAACAGCAGTGAGAAGGTTGGTGAGCCCATAAAAAGGAGTTATCGTCGAACAAAGTGGAAATGATTAATCAAAGGGTCATGCGCGATAAAACTGGAAGATAGACGTTGCCAAAAAAAGAACCTACCAAACTGAATTATTTTTTTTTCATTTGTTGGTTCTTTTTTTCCGTTGTTGCTGTTTTTCTTGTTTGTGTGTGGCCAAACCACCCTGCCAGCTCAGCAGGGTGGACTAAAGATGATCCGGCACCTGAACTCCACTGCAGAACACAACACAAAACGTATCTGGACACCTTCTGGGTACAACATATCTACACAGTAACCTTGTGTTTGCTGTTTTTTTGTTTTTCTTTTGTTCTGTTTTATTTTTGTTTTTCTGTTTTGCAAGGAATATGAGTGTGAGCGATATACATAAAACCAAGTTGCGAAATCACACAGCTGAGCAAGTAGTTGTGTCCCAAGCAGTGAGTACAAATGCACCGAGAAAACCATCCATATAGAGCAATACAATGAAGTAATGAGCCAACCATCCATATAGAGCAATACAATGAAGTAATGAGCCAATGTCCAAGCCCGTAGGCCACACCAACACAGTATCCAAAGTCGCTCTCTCCTGTCTGGCGCTCAGCGCCCAGCCTACTCTACCTGACTAGCCTACCTACAGCCGGTTCACGCAACAGGATCACTTCGACTCTCGAAGACTACTGTACATGACTGCCAACACCATCGCCAGCCTCTCTTGATGTACCAAGTATGTATCTCGTCACCCTCAATCAGACCTTTGATTACCCCACACAGCGCCTCCTTCCCTGAAGACCACCCGATCATCTGCTGTACCCCCAGGCGCCCAGCAGCCCGGCTATGGCTGCCAGCGCCTCGCTGCCCTGCAGCGCCCCACCTCACCTCTCGCGCCCTGTCAGCGCCCTTGGCACCAGCGCAGCATCAAGCGAGAGCGCAGCAGCACTTCCGCATTGCCAGCGCTGGCCAGAATGCCTGGCATGGGCTGCTCTCTTCCTTTTGTGGAAGCGGCAGCCTCCTGGATGCTGCGTCTGGCCTGGCTGGCCAGTAGCTTCCGGTTGGGCCTCAGACCCTGTGCCCAGGCCCAAAACTTACAGTTGAGGGCCTGGGCCCTTTTCAGTTGGGCACGGCCTGGCCGTTTGCTGTATCTGGGCAGGGCCCCCAGGTAGATGCGTCGGCAGTACTGCTTTTCCCAAAGCCGACAGCCTGCTTCTCAATGTATCGGCCTTGCTTTGTGTGTATGTGCCCAGGCGCAACTTTCGTGGCCTGGGCCAACTGTACGACGCAGCTTAGTGAAGCTCGTGCGTTTCACTCAACCAACTGACGCGCTGGGAGAGCCTGAATACCCACATATGGAAATGCCGAATTTTGGCCTGTGACGAATATTCAGGCCCGCCTTCACTTAGGGTGGGCACTTGGCTTGCCGGGGGCCTTAGCCCAGAACATACAATGTCTGATAGGGCCCCTTGAGGACTTATTCCTCAAATTCCATCCCCCTTAGCTTTGAAAGTCCGCTGAGATGCTTCATGCTGGAGCCTTCCCCTTCAGTCTCTTCTCATAATCTGCCACGATCTGAGGAGCTGTCTTAATAAGTTCCTCCCTTGAAATCCATCGATCTTCCTTCGGATCCGTATGATGCCTGAAATGAACTTTGTACTCCCTTGCAGGTTTTGGAGGTCTTCCCCTGTCAGTTGGCTTGGGAACAGGCGTGTTCTCTGTGATCCAAAATGTCGTCGACGTCCACGTGGCCGTCCATGGTTGGGGGCAGCATAGATCTCCGTGATGGGAATTGTGCTGTCTCAGCAAAAGGTGCAAGCTTGGAGGCGTGAAAAACAGGGTAAGTGCGTAAGTGACCAGGGATACGAATGACGTACGAGGGACCATCCAAATCATTCCCCACAATGTCCAGGACTTCCTAGGGTCCGAAATATTGAGGCATTAGTTTCCTAGAGATGCCGAACTCCTGTCCCATCTCACTAGCCTTGACCCAGACACATTCCCCTACTTGAAATGTGGACTGTCGGCGACGCTTGTTCTCAGCAGCAATCATGACTCCTTGAGATTTCTTGATGTGTTCAACAGTCTGCTGCAACAGTTTCTCATACTGGACACCATATTCAATGGTTCCAGAAGTTGCAACAGTTCGGTTTTCAGGCAGGAGGAAGTCTAGAGCAGATCTAGGCTTCCACCCCAGATGCAGTTGATTAGGACTGATGTCGGTGGTGCTGTGTACTGAGTTATTGTACAGGCTGGCGATGAGAGGTAATTTCTCATCCCAGTCATCCTGGCTGGGCTTGATGTAATGCCTCAACAAATGTTACACCACTCGGTTCATCTGTTCGGCCTGCCCATTTGCTTCGGGGTGATTCCCATAAGTCATCTGAACCTGGCTGCCCATCTGTTCAGCGGCCTTCTTCCACATCTCGCTTGTGAAACGTAAATCTCTAACACTAGCGATCGTTTTCGGAAGTCCAAAGTCACGCACCTAGTTGTCCAGGAACAACTTGATGACGTGCTCAGTCCTGGCAGTTTTTGGCATGGCGATTAGTCTAGCGTACCTAGTAAACCTATCCACTATGACGAAGATGTGCCTCTTGCCATTCTTGCTGGTCACGAGGGTGTCCATGAAGTCCATGGAGATGCCCTGGACCAGCAGGAATGGGTAGAGGCTCGAGTAACCCAAGCGGAGCTCGAGTTCGCGGCTTGTCCCGCTAACAGACGTGACAGGTCTGTATGTACTTCTTTGCATCGTCCAACATGTTAGGCCACCAAAATCGCTGTACTAAGTTAGCACTAGTCTTCTTATAGGCGAAATGTCCCGTTGCGTCATGGCACCTCCTAAAAACAAACTACGCAAATCTTCCCTAGATGGAACAACTAATCTCTTAAACCCTGCCTTCTCAAGAAAGAGCAACCCATCCACCATCACAATTTCATCAGTGGTGGCCTTGTCTTTAGCCTGTAGTTTGTTGATGATGTCCATCGTGATGGGATCTTCCTTGTAGGCTTCCTCCAAAGATCGAGTTACATCTTCAGATAAGCCAAACTCAGAAATCAGCGCACCCAGGTAATCTGCCCGTCTAGAGAATGCATCTGCAACCTTGTTGTACTCTCCCTTCACATAGTCTAGTTTGAAGTCATACTGATCTATGACTTCAATCCAGCGTTTGAGTGCATCGGAAAGAACTGGATGCGTCTTGATCCACTTGAGGGTCTGGTGGTCAGTTCTCAAATAAAAGAACCTTCCTAATAGATAGTGCCTCCAATGGACAAGTGCCTTGTAGAGAGCATAGAGTTCCCTCTCGTAGGTTGACTTTGCGAACTTCTTTGATGGCATCTTTATGCTCATGTACTCGACGGGTCTCAACTTTTTCCCTTCCTGCTGAGCCAACACTGCGCCAATGTCGTATTGGCTTGCATCAGTGGTTACAACAAATGGCCTTTGCGGGTCGGGTACCATGAGAACCTCATGGTGCGTGAGAGCATGCTTCAAATGCTTAAAAGCTGCCTCACACTCGTCGGTCCCGTCCCATGGTGTGTCAAGTCGAGTTAGATCAGTCAAGGGAGATGTGATTGTGCTATAGTTCTTTATGAAGTTGCCGTAATAACCACACATTCCCAAGAATGATCTAACCTCAGTCACAGGTTGGGGTCGTGGCTAGTAATGCTAGCCACTTTTGCATCTTCGGGCCTAATACCATTCGCGGATACTTCATGACCCAAGTACAAGATTCGAGTGCAACCGAACTCGCATTTCTCTGCGTTTATCTTATACTTGTGTTGCCGGAGGAGTGAAAGTACTTTGTCTACATGTTGAGCATGCTCCTCGACAGTTCTACTAAAGATAAGTATATCGTCGAGGTACCGACAACAAACTTATCTAAGTAGTCGTGGAAGATCCTATTCATGGCGTGTTGGAATGTACCCGGCGCATTGCAAAGACCAAAGGGCATCACTACAAACTCATACAGACCGTACCTGGTTTGAAACGCAATTTTGTGTTGGTCCTCTGGTCTTCTGGCAATCTGATGGTAGCCGGATTTTAAGTTTATCTTTATATAGTACTTACATCCCTGCACCCTATCCAATAGGTTGTCGATGCGTGGTAGAGGCTCTGCGTGCTTAACGGTGATTGAGGCCTGTATAATCAATGCACATCCTTAGTGTTCCCTCTTTCTTTGGAACAAAAAGAACTGGTGAGCCAAAAGGGAAAGTGCTAGGTTGTATCCAACCCTTTTCTGTGAGCTCTTTCGGTTGCCGACGAAGCTCGTCCAACTCGGCCGGAGCCATTCTATAGATTCTCCCTTTAGGTGTCTTGCTACCTGGGATGATCTCTATGGCATGGACAACCTCCCTGTCTACGACTCTTGAGGGCTCCTCGAACGATGGTCTCTATCTCTGGGGCTGTTTTAACGACATCCCTTTTTGCTGAGACATAGAGTACATTCCTTCCTCTTGGTTCTGTTTGTAATAATTAAGTACATTCCTTCCTTTTGGTTCTGTTTATAATAATTATAGAAAGTTGATGCGCATAAGCACCCGTAGGAGTCTATTAACCTACTAGCTTTGTACTTGGCCAGTCTCACGGTCCTCCCACTAGGCAACTCGTGCTTCAACACCTTGTCCCAGTCAAACCGGGGCTTGGCAACCTCGAGGTAGTACATGCCCAATAACATGTCAAAGGGCAACTCGTCGCTCACCAGGAATGGTATTTTATGATTAATCTCTCCCCCTGGGTAGGAGAGTGCACACTACATCTTTAAGGTAGTCCTCCACCGTCATGTGCTCTTTGTTGGCCAAAGTAGATGCTACTGGTCTACTAAGGCGCTGCACCCGGTCCTCTAGGCACAGTCTGTCAACGCAGTCGCGACTTACGAAGTTCCACGTGGAGCCAATGTCTACGAAGACGCCGCACAAGCGACCACCCACATCAACTTCCACAACGAAGTGCTCCCCTCTAGGACCTCTACTCAGTGCCACCCAAGGCTCACGAGGGTCCCT